TCATAAATCAACTTATCTTTATAGTATGTTTTAGTCTTCTTTAGTAGGCTTAAGTTCGTATTGGGCCCATTCTTTTAGTGGATGAAAGGTTTATACGATTTCCAGAGAAGGAATTCTTATTCCTTTGACAAGTCATCTTCCTCCTTCTATCTGCTCTCGTTTTCCCCTCTCTTTCAGAACCAAAACCCTAAAACCATACTTTTCTCTCTCTACACCTGCAACGGTCCCACACTCAACAAATTGGTCTTTAAATCTGGAACATAGAAAACTTATGTGATAGTTAGACAAACTTGATCCATGATCAGCCTCACTGTACCTTTCCCTACTGCATTCAGCCTTGTGGCATTTCCAAGTCTCACACATCCCTTGAAGTTGGAATCCATTTTTTTGAACCAATGTTTAATCCTAGTAATATGATTGCTGCATCCAGAATCAATAAACCAACAACCTTCATCCTTCTTCTCCCTTTCTCCAGCTCTTGCAAGATCAGCATGAGCCATCAATAACATGTCCTCCTTGAACTCTTATGATATATTGGTTGGAGGATGAGGCCTAGAATAATGAGCACTTGAATAGTGAGTTTGCTCAGAATACCATTCAAGACACTCATACTTGAATGTCCAAGTCTGTGACATTTGAAGCACTCCAAGTTATCTCTATTCCAGCCTCTCCACCCTTCATCTTCCTCTTCCCTAATAAAATCCCCTACCAGGACCTCCTCGACCACCTCTTCCACCAGCCTCATAGCCCATTTTCAGAGCATGATCCTCTTTAGCAGATTTCTTATGGAATTTCTGTTCATGGACAATCAATGAACTTTGAAGAGCATCAACTGTCAGCGATTCAGTGTCCTTTGATTCCTCAATTGAACAGACTACATAGTTAAACTTCTCAGTTAAGGTTCTGAGAATTTTCTCTACAATCTGACCATCAGTCATGTTCTCACCACAGTTTCTCATTGAGTTTGCAATCAACATAACTCTACCAAAATACTCAGTAATGGTCCCACCTTCTTTCATTTCAAGCAACTCAAAGTTCCTTCTCAAACCTTGCAACAGAGCCTTTTAGACTCAAGCACTGCCTTGAAAATTGACCGTCATTGCATCCCACAGCTCTTTGGTTGTTCCCTTGTTTGTGATAGTCTTGAGAATCGTACGATCAATAGAACTGAAGAGATAGTTTTTGGCTTTCAAATCTTCCAGCCTCAGATCCTCCAGACTCTTGGATTTAACAGCTTAAAGAGTAGCATTTGCAGCAAGTTCTAAGAAACCATCTCTTACCACACTCAAGTACTCTTTTGACCGCAGCATATTCTCCATTACAAGACTCCAGTGATCGTAATCACCATCAAACTTTGGAATGCACACCTGTTCAAAGCTTCCATTCTCACCCATCTCAGATCTCTCTTCACCTGAAGATTTCACTCACCCTTTTTGAATCAACCTCACTCAATATGACTCATGTTTCCCAGATGATATCCCTAGCCTGCAATCAGACTTGAGGACCTTTCACTTGACAACACTCTTTCACTCACACGCGCTATTGCTTGGTTACAGTTTGCAGAGCTCTGATACCACAATGTAAACTATTTGGGAGCAAACTGACAAGTTTATTGATTAGAAATCGAGAATATTAAGTACAAGGGTTTCAGCCACTGACTTGGCTTTCAACTCAACCCACTAACCCCTTGATTTCAGCTCCCGTGATTTAACTGACAACATACTAATATGATAACTTAACAACCAAGCATTCTGTAATGCCGGAAACTCGGATGGACTCAATTGACACAAAACAAAACACAAGGACTAAACTGAAACAAAGACACTCTGCCTGGTCTAGACTCTTAAGTAAAACGACGGCCATTTTACTCTTCTTATTTGAAACTTAGACTTCTCGCTTGTTGTCTCCAATCCTTCTCCTGCTCGGATTCAGATTCAGAGCCTTCCTTCTGCCTTCACTTCAGCTCACATGAAGATGTACAGTTCCGAGAGGGAAACTGTTTTATCTAGTATTTTGTATGTTGGAGATATCAACAGAGTATTGATAATTTATTCTTCATATGCTTCCTGTCAGTTCAATTATGATCGCTTATAGGTGTAAGTGATTCCATTGACTCGACCCTGACTGCGAATTTTAGTCTTTGTTGGCAACACGTTATGCTCTACGAGTACTCACAAACCCATGTTCTACAATGTGTCTTCTTACTGTGGAGAATTTGATAATCTCAAAAAAAGGTTGTACGTGAATGTTAACAACCACATGTTCATGCTCTTGATCATCAATTTTTTGTCCAAGTTCTTGAAGTACCCTTTGGTTTTCTGCTCTCCCCGGTGTTCGTGTTGTGGTATATGATCCACGATTGAACCTCTCCCAACAACTCGAGTTATTGCGACCAACTGGTTCTTGACATGGTATCAGAGCCTTCTGTGACCGAGAGGTCTTGTGTTCGATTCTAGGTGACCCCCATTTGTTAAGCACATGGTATTCTTGTCTTCAGACCTGTGCAAACTTCAAGCCCTTGTGAGTGGCTTTCGTTTGAGGGGGCGTGTTAGTGTTGTGGTATATAATCCACGATTGAACCTCTCCCAACAACTCGAGTTATTGGGACCAACTGGTTCTTGACAGCTCCTCCCCAACCTCGTCCTCCATCTTCAACTCTAGTCCATTAGGAATCCCCTCCTTAATACTTTTCGAAGATCAACTTTTGATGCGAATGTAGAAGATTCTAGGTGTTTGTCTGGTTTAGTTGTTAATAGACAAACGTGCATGTAGTGCTGCATCCTGGTGTGGATGACTCGTGGTAGTCCCCCCTGCAATGTAGTGCAGGAGAAACCCGTGGTAGCCACTTACTAATGGGAATGCTCTAATGCTCCCGGTCTCGAGATACTTGTCTCGATTAATTGTGGATGGTGATTATGGGGGTGGTGATTCGACAACTTTGTTAGGCTTGATGGTGGATTCATTTAGAGGGTCATTGCTTCAGGAATGTCGTCAGCTAGTTACTTCTTTGTTTGGTTATATAGATTTTAGGGTGGTATCTTTTGCCACAAACATGACGAGTTATAAAGTCATACGTAAAACTCTGTTGTGTCGCTAGTTTATTTTATTTTATTTTATTTTATTGAATGCCTTTACCAATATATTGGAAAGGTTCTCGGTAGTTTTGTTCAAGTTCTTAAACTTATTTGGCAAAATACAGCTGTATATCCACAACTTTCAGGTTTGTGACAAATATATCCACAGCTATCGAAACACACGAAATATCCATTTCCGTCCACTCCGTTAACTCCATCAGTTAACTTGATGATTGGACAGACGGTGGATGCTTAGTTGGTGTAATTCTGACCCTACTAAATGACGTGGATTAAAAGAGAAAAAAATAGGCAAAATACAGTTGTATATCCACAACTATAAGGTTTGTGACAAATATATCCACAACTATAGAAATACACGAAATATCCAAAAATTGGAAGATTGTGTGACAAATCTATCCACTTTCGTTTGAAACTATAACGACGTGTCAGACAGCGTTAAATTGACTAATGGAATGCTGAACCGATGCCATCTCACCTGCCACATAAGCCAAAAAGCAACTAAACTTTACACCGTTATCTGTTAGACCTCGTTGCTGCAGTCTTCTCTATTGGTGATTTGGTTAGATTCAAGCTTTTTTTTATTTGAGATTCAAGCTTGGTATCACCATGGCGCCGACTACATGGAAGCCGTCGAGTAAAAGGGAGGCAATGGTTGGGGATTGTGGTTGAAATCGAAATATGGGCTTAGGGTAGGGTTATTTGGTGGTGGAGGAGTTGATCGGAGGAGGATCAATGGTTATCGGCGCGTGTTTCTGGGTTGGATTTTTAGTCTCGCCGTCTGTTGTTTTTAGGGTTTTTAATTTTTTTTTTCTCTTTTAATCCACGTCATTCAGTGAGGTCAGAAACACGCCAACTAAGCATCCACCGTCTGTTCATCAAGTTAACTGACGGAGTTAACGGAGTGGACGGAAATGGATATTTCGTGTATTTCGATAGTTGTGGATATATTTGTCACAAACCTGATAGTGGTGGATATATTTGTCACAAACCTAATAGTTGTGGATATACGTCTATATTTTGCCTTTATTCAACTAGCCTATTTGGCATCTACGTGTAAAGTTTGCTTGCTTTTTGGCTTATGTGGCAGGTGAGATGACATCGATTCAGCATTCCGTTAGTCAATTTAACGCTGTCTAACACGCCGTTATAGTTTTAGACGGAAAGTGGATAGATTTGTCACACAACTTTCCGATTTTTGGATATTTCGTGTATTTCTATAATTGTAGATATATTTGTCACAAACCTGATAGTTATGAATATAGAGCTGTATTTTGCCAACTTATTTTTATCTATCTTGGTATTGCTTGGGGAAAAATCTATAGAAATGGCGGAAATCAAGGTTGTCAACCCGCGGGTTGACCCACGGGTCGACCCAATTTGACCCTGATCCGGTGAGAAAAACGGGTCGCACGCACCCGCCGGGCCGACCGCTATAAGGTACCGGGTTGGAGGTCAAATTGTGTCATTTTTTCTTTAGTTTGCGAAATGCGCCTATTTTCCAATTTTTCTTTTCGCCTAACTCAATCTTTGGAATACTAAGTTGAACATTTGAACATTTATATTATATAAGTGTGTGTGAATTTTCACTATATGTTGGATCTGAGTACGATATGTTATTTTGGTGTAATATTATATGTTATAACTCATATGTTAGATAAGATTTGATATAATTTACGAGGATAAGTACAATATAATGACTCTTTCTATATTTCCGGGCCAAACCGGGCTAAAACGGTTGACCCATTAACCCTTGACCAACTAGCTCGACCGGGTCCGGGTCAACCCGCGGGTTGACAACATTGGCGGAAATAAAACTAATCTGAAAGTGGACTCCCACTCTATGCCAAAGATAGGCCAAAGGCAAATCCGACGGCTTCCAATTATTATTTTTGGCAATTCCCAACAGATCGAGCGCCATAGCCACAACTCCCAGCCAGTGGAATCTTTTCCCTGGATTTTATAAAGAATAATCAGCTCCTTCGTCTTTCCCTTTTCTCCCGCATAGCTGTCTGTCGCTCCATGTTCAGGCACGCAAATACAGCGACTTTCAGCTTACCAAGAACACCCATCAACTAAAAGAAAAGGAAAAACCCAAATTTACTTTCCCTCTCATCCCCACCTGCCAATCACATCGTATATTGTAACCTTCGTGTACCCCCCCCCCCCCCCCCCCCCCTTCACCCTCCTCCTCCAATCCAACGGGGAGGGTTTTCTCGTTTTCCTATTGACTTTGCTCCTTCAGCTCGCCGCCATGGGTTGTGCCGGATCTTCCTTCGCTAAGGGAGAAGGTAAGTTCGTCCTTCAATTTCCTTTCTTCTTTTTCATTTTTCGTTCATCGGGTTCTTTCTTTCTCTTGATTCTGCTCATGGTTCATACATTGAGATTTTCGCAATTCAGTTTTTTATGGGGTGAGGGGAGGTTTAGTTGATTCCCGCCCTAGATTCTTCGCTATGTTATTGTGGTCATCGATTATACGACAGTTCGCTGCGTTAGGAATGGTGGGTTTTCCCCCAATTCGGATTCTGAATTCTGGGCTGGGTCGAGAATAAGGAATATGCTGTTCTTAGTTCTTGTTTTCTTGTTCTCCTGGATTTGGGGGTAGCTGGATATTGGTTGTGGCGATAGGTAGCGAGAAGCCAGCGAAACGCGCAGAATCTTACAAAAGCTTGACGATCCCCTCTGAATTTCCTGCCTGTTCTTGGGGCGGTGGAAGCAATGTTAATGACATTTGGCTTTTTGGATTCGCGCTTTGTTGTGTTTTTCTCTTGGCCTGGCTGAATTCACGGTAGAGCTTTGGCTCAATGGTTCATGTTTTTCCTGTTTTGTTTTGTTTTTAGGCTGGTAGGTTTTGAAAGATACTTATCAGAAGTGTGCTTTTCGGACGCGTCGTGATGAACTAACTACTACTATGTCCATGTTTGGTGGCTGCAGGTAACAAGAAGATAAGGAAGCCGAAGCCATGGAAGCATTCGGAGCCAATTACAAGGGCACAACTCGTGCAGAAGCGAGATGAGTTTTGGGACACAGCTCCTCACTATGGTGGGCAGAAAGGTATTTCGCCGTATCAGAAGCATATAGATAATGACTATTAATAGATAGTAACTGACAAATTGGGGAAACCGTTTCTTTTGCCTTTCTTATCTTATCAATTAGTGGCATTCTTTGGTTTGTCCTTAAAAAAGCTGGAGTTTTTTTTTTATCTTCTTTGTTTAACCAGGTGGCCGAAAGATCCACATTTCAGACTGTATTCTCTTTTATCTGCAAGCATAGCAATAATGTCATTTGCTTAGCTGTGCCCACTTCAGCCTGTGCATTTTGATTTCCTTTTATTAGTAATCTTATCTAGGAAAGCCTTGATCATATTAAGAAGGCCAGTGTGTGAAAAACATGGAGTTTGAGATTTAGAATAAGAGTTGAATTAGTCTCTAGTAACGATAGTTTTCTGCGAAGCAGGTTTCTACCTTAAGTTCCTCTTGTTTTGATTATTGCTGGTGCTGTGGTGCACACAAGTTGGCATTTCAAGCGATATATGGCATGGATCAGATCTTGCTAATATTTTGAGTTTTGACTGCGCATTTGATTATGCACCTGGATATGTCATTCGTTCAGATTGTAGAATCACCTATGCATGCTATCTATACGACTATACCCTTCAAAAGGGACCGATTCATGATTAATATATATCAGATATTGAGGAAACAAGCGATAGAGAGACCGAGTTTGTTCTGTAAGGTGGTCAGATGGGTGTTGCATCACTGTTTCAGTCTGGTTATATTTATTAACCATGGACGAGTCACTTGTTTTCTCAATGGTTTGAGATTTGGTTTGTAAGCCTTTTTGCTGGAATTCGAACATGAATGGACTAGTCCTTTGGAGTCCTAACTCTTTTCTGTTTCACCATCAACTTCCTAGTGTATACAAACAAGAATCTACATGACATTCTCCAAACCACTTATATGGAACCCATGTCCTTTTAAATTAGCCATAGTTTTGCTCGATTACTGCCTTCCAACTTCGTTCCTATAAATTTCACCATTCTCAAGCATCTCTTGTTTTGACCCTAAAATCCAAAATCCTGTTTCTTTTGTTGTTACCAGAGATATGGGATGCACTTCGTGTTGCTGCAGAAGCCGAGCTATCTCTGGCCCAGGCAATTGTGGACAGTGCAGGCGTCATTGTGCAGAGTGAGGACTTGACTATTTGCTACGACGAGAGAGGTAACAACTATTTCCTTTCCTTCTCCCCTTACTGGATCCCTTTTCTTTACGACATACATGTTAACCGTAGTAAACTCAACCTGCAAGTTCTCTCCTTGCATTGTGCTGATGCAGGCGCAAAGTATGAACTACCAAAGTACGTGTTAAGTGAGCCAACCAATCTGATTCCTGATAATTGAAGGAGGAAAGAAGAAAGTGAAAATAACTGTCTACTTTTCCCCAGGATATGGGGGGTTTCTAAACAAATGACCACTGCCCGCAGTCAGTAGGTCCATTCATATTGTAAATGTGTTGTTGACCAATTTTACTTACAGTTTGTGTAATGGGGCCTAGAGTTAAAGCTCTGCAAGTCGAAGCTGTGATGGGGATAAAAGAACTGTGAAAAGGGTGGGAAAAGAAAAGGAAAGAAGCAGAAACAGAGGGAATCCCAGAATGGGAAATGTGGCTTTAGTAGGTAAATGCTCTGCAATCTGGGCGTCTGGTTTTGAACCCAAAATGGGAAGAAAAACTTGGTTTCTGCTTTTGGTACTTGGGGGAGGGGTTTTGTGTGTGAGGGTCTTTCTTACTTGGGGTTTTGATACAGTCTTAGGAAACGGAAGAAGAAGCAGATAAAAACGTATACATGGTTCATATCACTTGCATTAACGCTGCTCAACCTCTGTATCTGTTAGAAACAAACAATTTACGGCTTTTCATTATTTCGTATTATTGTCGGTTTTGATAATTGGGGGATCATTTGGGGTATTTTCATTATGTGGGTAGCAGTTGGGTATTTTGCGGATTATATAATCTGCAGTAGGGAGTTATTTTGTCATTAAGCAATAAACTACAGAAAACACAAACCCTAATCTCTCTCACTCTCTCTCTCTCCCAGCGCCGAATTCCCTCTCTCTTTCTCTCTCTCTTGGCCGATCGGCAGCCATCCCTCCCCTTTCTTCTTCCTAAAATCCCTAATTCTAATCCCTAGCTTGATCAATCCCTAGTTGGTCAGGCTATTTTCCCCAATTCTACAATCGTTAGAAACTTTGTTTCTAACATCTGGTATCAGAGCCTGGTTTCGATCGGTGAGTTTTGCGCAACTCCATCAGGGACAGCATAGAAACCGGAGAATCAACGATGGTAACGACGAAATCCATGAAGGCAGCAGAGAAAGCGGAGAAGGCGAATCAGGCTGGTGACAGGGGTGCCGAGGCTGGTGATGACGGGGTCGAGGGGTCTGTGGAGGATCTGACAGGGGTGGAAGAACTGAGGAGGGACTTGGAGGCGCAGGCGCGGAGACAGGCGCGGGTGGAAGAGGAGTTGGGGGAGCTGCAGGCGAGGGCTAGGGATCAAAACCACACCCTCGAGGCCTTGACGGCAGCGGTGGAATCGCTGGTGGGGCAGGTGAGCAGCCTGACAGAGGCCTGGAAGAGAAGCGGGAGCGGAGGCGGTGGGGGCGACCAGCCGCCGCTGGAAGGGACGGGCGCGACGGGGGGAGGCGCCGCCGTGGCGGGGGAGCTCGGGGGTCGAGGAGCCGCGCGGCTTCCGGAGGGCAAGGGGGCGGGCGGCTCAGGCGAGACGGGGGGTGCGGCAGTCAACCCTAACCGACCGACCGGGTCGCGTACGGGTCAAGTCACCTTCGGCCCATCGGTCAAGGATGGGCTTCTACCGACTCCATCGGCCCAGGAGAGGGCGCGCGCGCGAGGCAAGGCCAAGATGGCCGAGTACGTGGAACCGGAGCTGCAAACGGGCCTGGATGAAGAGGAGTTGATGGGCTTGGAGCAGGAGTATGACCACGAGCCGTGGCCCAATGAGTTGAATGGGCCCGGGGAGGACTACAGCAGGGATGAAGGAAGCCACATGGGCCGAGCTGGGTTGGAAGTCGGGCCAGGTGGGAAGGGGCGAGGAATGGGCCGCGGCTGGGAGGCAGGCCGGCCGAACCTCATGGGCCGGGGACCAGTGGGCCGGGCCGAGTAGGCGGGCCGAGCCGGGGCGAGTCGGGGCCCGAGTGGTCGGGTCGAACCCGGTCGGACCGAACCCGGTCGGACCGAACCCGGTCGGACCGAACCCGGTCGAACCGAACCCGGTCGGACCGAACCCGGTCGGACCAGAGCCGACCCAGGACAGCAGCTTGTGCGCACGGGGGGAACGGGCAGCAGGGGATTTCCAGCCCGTCCAGGTCAGTTTGACGAGTTTAGTGGCAATCAGCCTCCGTTTGTGAATCAGTACGGCACTGGGGGAGAATTCATGGGCTCAGGAACTGGTGACCAGAGGCGGAGAACTGAGATGGGCCGAGGACGGGGATATCAGGAGGAGGAAGAGGAGGAGTGGGAGTATGAAGGGGGACACCGGTACTCGCAGCATTATCACCGCGAGGCCCCGGGGTATGGAAGGCATGCTGGCCACTTCCGTGGTGGTGAAGGGGAAGATGAGATGGTGTTCCGAGCTAAGCCCCCAACCATTGAGTTCCCAAAATTCAATGGCAGGGAGGATGCAGGTCTGTGGATATACTCCGCAGAACGGTGGTTCAAGAACCATCCCACTAGAGAGGAACGGAAGGCTCAGTTGGCGTCCTTCTATTTGGAGGGGGATGCATTGCAGTGGTGGGAATGGATGGAGCGGACCTACGCTGAAGCTCAGACGCTGATTACTTGGCCGATGTTCAAGGAGGAGTTGAGGTATCAGTTTGGCAAGTCGGAAGGGTGGGCCCCGGAGCAGTTGGCAAAGCTGCGCCAGACTGGGACAGTGGCGGAGTATCGAGCTGAGTTCTTCAAACTGGGTAACCAGTGCAAGGGCGTACCGGAGGAGACCTTGGTGGGTCTATGCATGGCGGGACTCCGCCCAGAGATCGCAGCAGCTGTCCGGGTATTTGAGCCCGATTCACTTCGAGCTGTTTTCCGTCTTGCAGGTAACAAGGAGGAGGAGCTGGCTAGCTGGAGGGGCGTGATAGGCCGCTATCAGAAGCCGGCCGGAGGAGGAGGCAGTGGTAACAGCGCCAGTGGAGGAGTGAGCGCAGCTGCATCGGGTTCTGGTTCGGGAGGGGGTGCGGCGGCTGGCCCACCTTCGGCTGTCGTTCGAGCGGGACCAAGGCCACCACCCAAGGGGTTTAGGACGCTATCTCCTGCAGAGATCGAGCAGAAAAGGCGGGAAGGGAAGTGTTTCAACTGTGACGAGCGGTTTACCTTTGGTCACAAGTGCGGGAAGCCTGACTTGATGTTCTTGGTGGGACGATGGGAAGATGAGGCGGAGGATGAGATGGCGGAGGAACCTGGAGCAGAGCAGGAGAAGCCGCAACCTTGAGGACAAGGTTGTTTTCCAAGGAGGCGGGGATGTTAGAAACAAACAATTTACGGCTTTTCATTATTTCGTATTATTGTCGGTTTTGATAATTGGGGGATCATTTGGGGTATTTTCATTATGTGGGTAGCAGTTGGGTATTTTGCGGATTATATAATCTGCAGTAGGGAGTTATTTTGTCATTAAGCAATAAACTACAGAAAACACAAACCCTAATCTCTCTCACTCTCTCTCTCTCCCAGCGCCGAATTCCCTCTCTCTTTCTCTCTCTCTTGGCCGATCGGCAGCCATCCCTCCCCTTTCTTCTTCCTAAAATCCCTAATTCTAATCCCTAGCTTGATCAATCCCTAGTTGGTCAGGCTATTTTCCCCAATTCTACAATCGTTAGAAACTTTGTTTCTAACAGTATCCTCCTCCATCCTTTCCTCTCTCTCTCTTATGTGTCTGCTGTTCTCGATGCGAGAAGCCGAGACTGTCAGACTGCATAAAATTCTGTTGAGTCTTCGGCAAGAGTTATTCGATCTCCTTGTTCACGATTAATCCAATCGTTGCATGTGTGTCCCCAACTTATCCGATCGCCATGGAAGAACAAGTTCGCGTAGCGCTTTAGACCCACCACCCATTCCAAAGCTAAACCAAATCGGTTCGGTTCGCAGAGACTAGAGGGGGCGAGAGTCGCATGAAATTGGAGTCCTGAAATGAATGCAGTTTGAATGCACTAACGCCACCTGCCGACCGTCACCGCCGCCGCAGCAAGTCACAAGTAATGAAATCAACAACGCCGGTGGCGCCCCCACCAAACTACCCATCACCGGCCGGACACATGAATCACTGTTTAATTCTTCTGATTGTAAAGTTCCGGTGAGAATGGGAATCCCGTGTTTGGATTGATTGCAGGGTTCTTTGTGTGTTTTCTGAAACTGTAACTAGGCGTTAATGTATGTAGTTACTGCCGCCGGACAAGAATAAATGCGTCTGGCTAGCTAGGAAGGAAGGCGACAAGCATACAACGTTCCAATCTACATTAGTGAATAGTGATGCATTATTGTGATTTGTGAAGCAATGGGATCGACGGAGCCGACATTCGAGTAAAGGACAATTATGGGGCACAATGCCATTCAATTCAATGACTCCTTTTCTGTGTCCACTAGAGTGCTCTACCTCGCTACTTCCAAGTTCCAACACATGGCTGCTGGTTCAGTACTAGTCCCTTCAACATGAATGGTCAAAAGTCAAAACTCAAAACTGTGCATAAATTAATTAGCTTTTTTTTTTTACCAAGATAGAATTCTATTCATTTCAACGGTGATTGTAGTACAAACTAATCAGATTACAACATAGGGTAAATGATGTTAAGAACTTGAATCCACTCTTGGTGAAGAGACCCTTTTGCAGCTTCTTTTGCAACCCAATCAGCACATTTGTTCTCCTTTCTAGGACAAAAAGCAATCTTGATCCCACCATTCGCATGGAGGATTTGCCTCATCCATTGAATCCACGCCCTAACTTGCCAAGGTCCAGCTTTGCTTGTATTAAGAATCGTATCGACCAAGACCTTACAGTCAGAGTGGATGGTAGCAGAGATGCCGACTGAAACCACATGTTGCATTGCAATCAGAATAGCCTTAGCTTCCGCTACAATCGCCGACGAGCAGAACAGAGTACCAGCAAAGCCATCTACAACTTGGCCAAGAGGGTTTTTTATTACCACTCCATAAGCCGCCAACTGAGATTCCGAACTGAAAGTTCCATCACAGTGAATAACCCAATGGTTAAGACAAGGCGGTAGGCTGAGTGTAGGATGACGGGGAGCATGCTGGTCACGAGAAGTAGTGAGGGACAGTCCACCCTGACTCGTCCAAACCGAGAAAAAACTCACTGCTTTCAGAGAAGTACCATAAGTACTAGGGATAACTCCTTTAAACACCCTCTCGTTCCTCACCAGCCAAATTGCCCAGAGGCAAGCCACAACAGCCGGAATAGGAATCAAAGGGATACTATCAGAGATCTCAAGTAACCACATCACAATCGGGGTGGAGTCATGGGGGGGAATGAGCGAAGGAAAGTTAGTTTGCCAAACCCTCGCAGCATGCGGACTGGAAGAGACAGTGTCTAATGTCCTCAACATCCACTTCACAAATAGAACAAACAGGGGAAGGATTGCATCTTCTGACCCAGAGATTTCTCTTTGTCGCAACCGCATTCCTCGACAGTCTCCAAATGAAAGACCGGATCTTTGGAGGAAGCGATAAGCTCCATAACCATTTCCACGCTTTAGTCGAGCAGCCCGGTTGATTTGGATTCCCAGTCCCAAGCCTGTTCATTTCCTCAACTCTAAAACTGTGATAAGCAGTCTTGACTGAGAAGATACCTGACTTCTCGTGATGCCAAACCCAAGTGTCATCTGAGTACTGCGGGCCAATAGGGATTCTTCTAATGGCTGCTACTTCTTCCTCCGAACAACTCTGTCTAATGATGTCCAAATTCCATTCCCATTCATCCTCCATAACCCATTGGAAAGCCCATAATTGTTGGAGCTGGCTCGGTTGAAGTTTAAAATTGCTAATGCCCGGAATCCACGGATCACCATCCAGTGCAATAGTTCTCCCACTTCCCATATTCTTTCGTGCCCCTAACTTCAGGACCTTCTTAGCCTCCCAGATGCTAGCCCATATCCAAGATGGTCTACGACCCTTATCGGCCGCCATGAAATCAGAGTGAGGAAAATACAAGCCTTTCAAAATCTGAACCCATGTTTCATCCCCACCCGTGAGGATCCTCCAACCTTGCTTTGCAAGCAAAGCCATATTAAAAAGGTAGAAATCCTTGAAACCCATCCCCCCTTCTTGTTTTGGGGCTGTCAGGACGCTACCTTTCCTCCAAGGGATTGAGGTCTTTTCCATGTCTCCACCCCAGAAAAAAGCTCTAAGGCGAGAGTTCATCTTATTTGTAGTATTTTTAGGCAACAAGAAGCACGACATGAGGTAGGTAGGATACCCTTGATAGACCGATTTGAGGAGGGTTTCCTTTCCTGCTTGGGAGAGAGCAAGACTTTTCCAAGCTTGGCCAAGCTTTTCCATTCGATTCAGGAGGCCTGCAAAAACCTCTTTCCTTGACCTCCCCCATTCTGTTGGAACACCCAAGTACTTTCCAAGCCCATCCGCCAACGGGATACCAAGGAAATTCCCAATAAGAGACTTAGTTGCTTCCGGTGTATTCTTGCTGAAAGTGATTGCCGATTTTTCACAGTTGATAACTTGCCCTGTCATCCTCCCATATCTTTCCATAGTAGATTTGACCTGCATCGCCTCAGCAAGAGATGCTTTCCCAAACAGGATCGTATCATCTGCAAAAAGAACATGGGTGAGACGCGGGCAATGTTGATTAAGGGTGACACCCTGGATAGCACCTGAATGCACATTCTTAGAGATGAGGAAGGATAAAGCATTATTCAAGAGAATGAAGAGGAGGGGAGAGAGAGGATCTCCCTGACGAATTCCTCTAGAAGGAAGGAAGGAAGGGTTGAGAAGGTTGTCCATTGATCAGTAGAGAAAACCTGACAGTCCGCACACATTCCTTAATCCACAAACACCATTGTTGGCCAAACCCCATAGCCATAAGGATCATGTCAAGACAGTCCCAATCCACCATATCATAGGCTTTCTTCATATCCAATTTAATCATCATGTCCCAATTACCCCCTTTTGGTCGAGTCCTAAAGTGATGCATGACTTAATGGACGATAATAATGTTATCTTGAATATCTCTTCCTTCAATGAAAGCCGATTGCATCTCTGAAATCACCTTTGGAAGCCAATCTTTCAATCGAGTAGTCATAATCTTTGATATCACCTTATACCTGAAGTTGCAACAGCTAATTGGTCGAAACTGAGAAACTCTTTCCGGATTGGACACCTTAGGAGTCAGCACAATATGAGTATCGTTCCAACCTTCTGGCATACAGCTTTGTGAAAAGAAGAGCTGAATCTCTTCACACAATTGTTTCCCCACGGTATCCCAGTAGGTCCTATAGAACAAACCAGGAAAGCCATCAGGTCCTGGTGACTTACTCGAGCCGAGTTCAAAGACAGCACTCTTGATCTCCTTATCCTCAATAGGCTGACAAAGAGCTTGGTTCATCTCATCATTCACCACTCTCGGGATATCCCGAAAGAGATTAAGATCGATATCACCATCCCTTCTTTTGAAAAGGTCAGTATAGAAAGAAATCATGTGATGATGCAACTCATCTTGATTAGTTATCCAATTATCCCCATCATCCAACAATTTGACTACTTTGTTTCGAAGACTCCTTTGAATAGTAGAAGTGTGGAAGAATTTAGAGTTCTGGTCCCCCTTATTAAGCCATTGGATCCTAGAACGTTGACTCCAGAAAACTTCTTCTTCTTCCCACACCTTGTTCAGCTCCACAATAAGAACCCTCTCTTCCTGGGCCAAGGTTGCAGCCTGGGTAAAATCTAAAATCTCCATCAGTCTCCTTTGGATTTCTTTAATCCTTTTAGCCGCATTCCGCACATGTACTCTACTCCATTCAATCAATTCTCTACGACATTGGTCAAGGCACAATTGATGGTTCCCTTCTCTACTCCAGATATTCTTGATGATGTCTTCACACATCTCATAGTTTGGCCATCTATGGTCAAAACGAAAAGTGGCCTTTTGTCTTCTTTGGAAACCATGCACTTCCAATCTCATGGGACAATGATCTGACCCAACCATTGGCTCATTGAAAATTAAAGCTTTATCAAAAGCTTCTCTCCACTCAAGAGAGCACAAACCTCTATCCAGACGGCCCATGATTTTCCTTTGACCTTGTCTCATATTTGACCAAGTGAATCTTGGTCCTTTGAAATCAATATCGATAAGGCCATTGTTGAACACGAACTCCTTGAATGGTTCGGTCGCAATACTTCTTGGAGGGTTGCCTCCAACTTTCTCCGAGGCATCCAAGACCGCATTATAATCACCCAATAAAAGCCAAGGACTATCATTAGAGGGTTTACAGTTACTAATTATATCCCAAAAGGCCCTTCTCTCACTAGGGTCATTTGGGGCATGAAGGAAAGTAAGAAAGAAACCTACACCTAAATTGACGAATACATGAACAAAATATTCCGAGTGGTCCAACACATTGACCACGAGATCTTTAACCCACCAAAGAGCTAAACCTCCCCTACTACCTACCGGATTTTGGTACCATTTGTTGTAAAATTTGGCCCTCCTCCTTTCACTTTCTAGACTACTCTCTTGTTGCTTAGTTTCCATCAGAAAAGTCATACAAGGTCTAAAGGAATTGTGCAAATCCCTTAGTTGCCTGACTGCCGTGTCTGTACCAAGACCCCGGCAGTTCCAACAAATAAGACTCATGGCTGATTTGGTGGCTTTTGGTGAGCCACCTCCACCCTTCCTGATCCATTCACCCCTGCAGATTCTTCATTCTCAAATTCCTCAGTTAATTCCCTGTGCTGCTCGTGAATTATGATGCTTGCTTTCCTCTTGTTGTTGATCTTCAGCTT